CACACACACTCTCTTCGAGTTGTGTATAGCAAACATGACAAAACATACATACAACATAATCACTACCTTACCCTTCCCGAACCACATAAACAAACAAACTACGGGCTGCGCACCCGTGCCCTCACCGTAAGTCAATGAACTCAGGACCTCCAAGTTAGTATATCAGAGCTCTACACACTGAGCTATTGAGGTCGTTAGTCTGTAAGGGCGCTATGCCAGGTCTGGGACAAGTACGTGGGGTGCAACCTACGCCAACCAATTGTGCTCAGGGGAAGTTGTGGGCCGACAAAGTCGAACTCACAACCTCCCTGTTGCAACGCCGGAGCTCTGCCCGCTGAGCTACCACGTACTTGCTTACCAACTGACCGTCTCGAAGGTAAGACACCAAGCATGCCACAGGCACTATCGTGGGGGCAATGGGAGTTGAACCCACGACCTCCTGAGTGCGAACCCGCGACCTCCTGAGTGCCGCTTGAACGCCTTACCAACTGAGCTACACCCAGTTGGACTTCATCCTAATTCCTGAGGATTTTCCAAGGAGGGTCTAGCGAGGCCCTATGACTCTGGATCCTTTCCAGTTTTTTGTACTTTATTTTATCCAAAGAAATCGGGTCTTCCCCTCATGTGACCCCACCCACCCCCTTCGGTCAATTCTCCCTGGTGCACCCTCACTCCCTCAGTCTTACCTCACTGTCTACCACTTAGGACAATCACCCCTATAGCATTTTTTGGTGGGATGACCTGACCGGACAGCAGCTGCAGGCACCAGCACTAAGCAGTATACCCCCGTCAGCCCTGGTTGAAGCATATTCTTGAATGAGCCCTGTAGGGGTACTCCGGTGCTACCAGAGGTGCCACCAGCACTGATCAGGATATCCCCTTCAACTCTGGTTGAAGCACATGCTTGAATTTGCCCTGTTGAACGGGCACTGGTTGAAGCATGTAGGCACCCGTACTAAGTAGGATATCCCCTTTAACGGGTTGAAGCACATGTAATTGAATTTGCCCTGTCGTATGGCTACTTCGGATGCTACCAGGGGTAGGTCTGAACCTTTTCTCTACAGGCAGGGTCAGTGGACCCCTGATGTCCCCTGAAATTCTGTACCCGGGTCCCTCTATACGTCTGAACGTTCTCCCTGAGCTATCACAGGCAGTGTCTAATGGCCAAGGCCAAGGTCTAACCTACGTACACACCCCTACCGCTAGCGCAGTGGTTCCGGGGCAAGGTCCCACTTGCACAGATTAAGAGATTCTGACCGTTGATCTTCGCTATGTACGGTCACTATCGCTTAATTCGTGTAAGTGGGACCTAGCCCCCGGTCCTTACATGTCATAGATCTGTTTGCGGAGAGCAGTTAGCGAGTACCAGGGACTTCGCTCAAACAGGCGACTCTTGGGCGCGGACCGGTAGTTGACTCTTGGGCGGGTGGGCGCTAAGTGAACGTTTGCGCGGGAATGAACAAAGTTGTAACGGGAAGTGGGAACAATCCCCCGCCGGATTATTTGAACATTTGGCGGGAAGCTTAATGTCCGCACTCCCCCTGCTTTTCCCCCTCCCGATCCCGATCTCGATCCCGACCCCGATCCCATTCGATTCTCCTTCTCCATAGTTTCTCTCCTCTGTATCACTTCGGAGGAGAAGAAGAAGGCGAAGACGAAGATGGTGGATATGGCGTCCACCATCTTCGACCATGCCTCTGTCGAGATACGAAACCCTCTGTTTCATCCCTACATGGCGGGCCTTTCGGCGTTCAGGGGGACGGACATGGCGGCCCTTTCGTCGTCACCCAGCGTGACGCCGTTCTTCCCGCAGATGACCACTGCCACGTGTCCACAGGAGGACAGCTATGCACGTCGGCGCGCCGGTACTCTGTTTGGCGCGCTGCAGCATTCGCGAGTCCCTCCTCAGCTCCTGAGATCCATGCGCGCGCTGGCGTCAGCGGACTCAACGCTTGCGCTGTCGATTCCGGACATCATGTCTTTCGCTGTCTGCGACTCTTTCGGCGGCGATGGCGACGAGGACGACGAAGGTGGCGGCGGCTATGGCGCCGGCGTCGGGGAGCTGCTTCCGTGGGAGAAGCAGCGGCACGAGAGCCTGCAGAGGGAGGCGGAGAGGGCAGTGTCGGAGCTCAGGGAGGTGGGAATGGGAGTTGCGCATGGGCGTGATCGTCTGTCAGACCGAGGCGGGCCGGGGTCCCATCCCCGACAAGAAAAGAAGACGAAGCAGCGAAGTCGGGATCGGAGCGATGGCGGCGAAGACGATGCTGACGCCATAGCCGAGCTCTTCTGTAGCTCGTCGTTAGAGTCCAAAGCGAACTCAAGGACAAGAGTGAACTCGCGAAGCTCATGTCGTCATTTGATGAGAAGGGACCCCAACCCCAGGTTGGAGACCGCGGACTCGCGATTGCGAGTGGCTGTCGAGAATGTGGGCCGGTTGAGGCAGGTCGAGGATGGGACTCCCACGGGGGGAGCACGTGTCATTAGCTGCTGGGGGCAGGGCGAGGACACGTGGACAGCAGCAGGAGAAGGAGCAGGAACGACCGCGTTCGGCTCGCCATCGCCGGCAGCGGGGTCGAGCTGGCTGCCGGGCGACAGGGATGATGAAGGGGTGATGGAGTATTTGCGGGGGCGGTGTCGGGATCCGTACGGGGAGGAGGATATGGGGGTGGGGGGTGGTCGATGGGACTATTTCCCGCGTTTTTTGTCGGGGGAGAGAAGGCTAGAAGTGTATTCGACGTGCGCGGGCGCGGGCGCGGGCGCGGGCGGGGGCGGGAGGACGGGGAGCAGGAGAACCAGAGGAGGGGGTATCGTTGGTTGGGATGGGGAGGTGGGGAGTCGGGACCGCGACCACAAAGATATCTGGGTCGAGGCGGCGAAGTTGCCCCCGATTGATTACCGCAATGTCCGCTGCGACTGGGAGACGCGAATGCGACACGGGCGACGGCATGATGCGGAGCGCGAGAGGAGGGAGAGAGGGATACGAGGAGCAGACATTGTGGAGAGCCTGGATAGCATGCGCATAGGAGGAGGAGGAGGTGGTGGGGGTGGAGAGGAGGGAGGAGGGAGGCGGAGGTGGTGGGTACCCTTTGGGAGCATCTTGGCGGTGAAGGGGCAGGAGTACACGGTGGAACTCGCTGAGGATGACGTGGAGGAGGAGGAAGAAGAAGTAGATCGAGCTTCTGTATCCGTTGGATGGAGAAAGAGGAAGGACACGTGGGTCGAGAGGGAGAGGGGGGGGAAGAGAGAGTGTCTGGTTGGGATGGGAATGGGGAGGGAGAGGGGCAGGGGGAGAAGGAGGCGCCAAAGGAGGAGATCCGCGATTGGAGATGGTGTGTTCTTGTGTGAGAGAGGAGTCTCTCATTTCAATACAGCTTATGAACTGTGTAGGAGTCGGTCGCTAAAACCACGGGAGGTCGTCGTGACGGTGCGTAAGGCTGGCGTTCTTTTTTATTTATTTATTTATTTATAAATTGAATTTCATTTAATTAATTTTCTATATATAATGTTAGTATTTTTCGTGGTTCATGGACCATGGATCAGATCAGAGTAGAGACTACGTGGGTGTCGCTCCTCTGCACAACCTGCTAAATGAATTCGGGCCTGAAAATGGTTCAAATACATTCCCACTGTCGCATTAATCCGGATATACACGGTGCAGACAACGGTCCAGGTACATGTAGAAGGTTGAGTGGTGGAGCGAGGCCCTACATTTGATCTTAGCCGAAGGGCCTCGCCACACGGCACATAGTAACGAATGAATTCGGGCCTGAAAATGGTTCAAATACATTCCCACTTTCGAAAAAAAGAAAGAAAAAAAGAACGAGTGCATCTCATCTCCACAGAATGTGGCAAGATGATTCTTTCGATACTCTCCCTAGTAACGAATGAATCTTTCCAGTTTCTGTGGAAAGATTCACTCGTTTTTTTGTTCTCGTTTCGTGCGCTGCCTGGCGAAAAGGCCGTTAAAGCTATGTCCTTAAGGAATATGAATACTACTGTAGTCGTTTTCATTCATTTTTATTTGTGAATATAAAATAAAATGTCACATAGAAAAAAGTTGGGGGGAAGGGGGGACGAAGGGAACTATGGTCACTTGTTTGGCGGGAGGCTCATCAAACTTATGTTGAGGTATATATATGTATATATACGTGTTCTATTTATATCTCGCTATATATATATTGTCACATTGTGAATCAGAGCGCAMAAAAGGGGAAAGAAAAAAGGAAAAGGAAAAAAGGGGAACGGGAAGGAGGTAAGGAAAGCTCC